GCAGCCCATGCCAAAGCGCAACAAGTTTTCTCGAGCAGTGAATATCTTATTTCACAGTCGGTAAACTTTTTGCTAAAGTAGTATATTGCATGCTCTTTTCGACCAGACTCGTCATATTACCCCAATACACCCCCCATTGAATTCTCTAGTACTGTTAGGTACATGATTAGAGGTCTCCCTTCAACTGGTGGAATCAGAATTAGAGGTTCTTGTAAGTACTCCTTGATTTTATCAAAATCTATTTGACAGTCGTCGTTCCACCTGACTACTTGATCTTTCTTCAGCAGTTTGAAGATTGGCTCATAAGTAGATGTCAAATGAGAGATGAATTGGGCAATGTAGTTCAGTCATCCTAAGAAACCTCTGACCTCCTTCTCAGTACGGGGAGCTGGAATTTCTTGGATAACTTTAACTTTTACAGGATCAACTTCAATACCTTTACCACTGACGACAAAACCTAGGAGCTTTCCAGACCTCACCCCAAAGGTGCATTTGTTTGGACCCAACCTTAGTTTGTACTTTTTCAGCTTCTCAAACAGCTTGTGTAGATGGTCAAGATACTCTTCCTCTGTTTGTGACCTGGCTATCATATCATCAACATAGACTTCTATCTTATGATGAATCATGTCATGGAATAAAGCTACCATGGCATGTTGATAAGTTTCCCCTGCATTCTTCAACCCAAAAGGCATGACCTTGTAATAGAATGTGCCCCACTGTGTGATGAAAGTAGTTTTCTCCATGTCTTTAGGCGCCATTTTGATTTGATTATAACCTGAGAAACCATCCATGAAGGAGAATACCTTGTGTTGAGCAGTGCTTTCGACCAAGACATCAATTTATGGAAGTGGGAAGTCATATTTGGGGCTTGCCCTGTTCAAATCCCTGTAATCTACACACATACATACCTTACCATCCTTCTTTGGCACTAGAACAACATTGGAAACCCATTGAGGATACAACATCACTTCTAATAATCCTGCATTTAATTATTTCACGACCTCGGCCTTGATCTTCTTAGACATCTCAGGACGCATGCGACAAACTTTCAATTTAATTGGAGCATAACCCTCTTTCATCGGCAGGCGGTGAACCATAATATCTGTATTGAGTCCTGGAATATCTTTGTATGACCAAGCAAAGACCTCAACATATTCGTGCAACATATGAATCAATTTTCTCTTGACACTGTCTTCTAGGTTGGCGCCAATCTTGACTTCTTTCCTATCTATCTCAGAACCCAAGTTTACCACTTCGACTGGCTCTTCATGTGGTTGGATAGCCTTTTCTTCTTGAATTAAGAGTCTAACAAGTTCTCCAGGTATCTCACAATCTTCCTTACCTTCATCTTCGGCTTGGTAGATTGGAGTTTCAAAGTCATAAACGACAATAGTAGAATTGTTATCAACGAGATCCAGAGTGGATGGGGATCTGCAATGTAGTGTGTGGGTGTAGAACACATAGCTATTTGAAAGTGCAAATAAAGTAAAAGAAAGACAGAGAACACAAAATTTGAATGCAAAACATCCAATATTTTCATTAAATGAAAATATGACATATGAAATGACAACCCTGAACAAATGGATCATTGTGTCCCGGGCAAAACACAAGGTTTAAAGTAATTGTTTAAAGAGAAATTATATAACCAAATTTATTAAACTGATAAAAAACAGAAATAGCTATTACTCCTGGCTGAAGGAGATTGGTATAAAGTCTTTAGTCTGCCAGTTGTCGAGTCCACCGCCAACAGTATGGAATATCCAATTGTATAAGTCACCATCCCTATCAGTGTCTTCCAGAGCATTGACTTCATTATTGCTAATATGGAAATGTGGTCCTCCAGCACGAACACGTCGAACCTCCTTCTGAGCCTTTGAGGAGAAACCCAAACCAAATTTGTTGGACTTATAGGGGATATCGCGAAGCTGACCCCCAACAGTACATCCTCCTTCTTCTATCACAGCCCTAGCATCCTTCAGAGAAGCCATCATTGGTGCATCCTTGATGATCTTAGGAGTAACAAGAGTAGCTTTAGCAACGAAAATCATTTGAGGGATTACTTCAAATGCCTGGCAGGGAGTTTCAATGAATTCACCATCCATTTCAACATATTTGAAAGAATTCAAATGGTTGACCATATGTTCTTCTTCTCTGGATACTGTAATGATCTTCCCTTTCACTAGATACTTCAATTTTTGATGTAAAGTAGAGGTGACAACGCCTGCCCCATGAATCCAAGGGCATTCTAGCAAACAAAATAGGTCATTCGAATATTCATTACATAAAAAGTGGAGTTGAAAACCTGAGATCCCACCTTGATTGGAAAATTAACTTCTCCGTACACCATCCTTTTTGACCCATCAAAGGCTCTTACCATAATATTGATGGGTTTCAGCACTAGCCTTTCACAGTCCAATATATCCAGAGCAACTTTTGATAATACATTCAGGGAGGAACCAGTATCAACTAACACATACGCCAAAGTAGTGCCCTTACACTCAATAGAGATGTACAGAGCCTTGTTATGATTTTTTCTGGCCGAAGTTAAGTCGGCATCAAAAAAGCCTAAACCATTGTCAACTGTTAGGCTTTAGAGCATTAACACTTATGGTGGAGACATAGAAAACATCGTCAATAGCATTAACACCTTTACCATGACTGGGCATGGACGCAATAATCACATTAGGGGTCTCGGGAGGATCAAATCCAATTTCTTTTGCATAAATCATGTCTTGGATCTTGCTCTTTAGGGCCCAACAATCGTTGGTATCGTGCCCAGGACTATTGGAATGATAGGCACACTTTGCATTTGGATTGTATTTTGGAGATGAGGTATTGGGATTTTGAGGAGGATCCTGCAGTGTTATCAATTATGCTTTCAACAGATGTTGTAGTGCTTGAGCCAATGGCATATTAATCCTGGTGAATTTCCTCCTCGGAGCGTCTGACCTACGCTGATTGCCTGGTTGTTATGGTCGAATAGGTGTGGGATTAGAGATTAACACTACCCCTACAGAGTGATGACAATCATTCTTACTATGGCTCCTCTGGCCATAAACATCATTGGTCTGTTTCTTTCCAATGAATGGTTTCTTCACAGTACTAGGGGATGCAACCATCTGAATCTTCCCGCTTTTGATTCCACTTTCGACTCGTTTTCCAGTTAAAATCAACTCAGTAAACCCTGATGAAGAACTCTCAATCAGAAAATTAAAGAATGGACCCGTCAGGGTGCCCATGAACATATCCACTAATTCTCGGTCAGTCAAAGGGGGTTGCACCCTGTAGCGGTGAAAATTGGAGATCAAGCTATTAATTAACTCGACTCGCAAATAAGAAAGAGTCGCCACCGCGCTTTATTATTTCCAATGGAAAAGGGAAAAGTGCGAAATAAAATCCATAAATATGCAAAGTAAGTGCAATACTAAAAGTAAATAAAAATACAATGCATTTGAAAAGAGATCGAAGGTTCAGGGGTTGGTTATAAAAAGGGAAGATACTATCACCCTATGTATCTATAGTATTCTATAGGAACCTTTTGAAATATCTGTTTTTGGTTAAAATTGGTTTGCTTGCTAAATGAGTGTGGGTGAGATTTTGAAGATACGACGACCTAGTGTCGAAGTTTTGACTTAAAAGGTGTGAGTTTTAAAATTGAGTCTTTTAGGAAAATTAACTTAAGATTAACAAAATAATAAAACAAAAATGAATGAAGGGATTCACACAATCGTATAAGATGTATTTGATGACATGAAGTCGACAAAGTTAAACATTTCCCTTGGAATAAATCGAGCGAGCAAAATAAAATGGACATCAAAATATAAACATTCGAAAATTCATAAGAAGATAAATCTAACAACACAGATTAATGACCAAAAGGCACCGAGAAATTAAAATGACAAAAATATTTAAATACAAATAAAAGAGAATGTAACTAATTATCTAAAGAAGTTATTTGAACTAAATTAAAGATTTAAGATTACTTACTAAAATAATTCTAAACTAACTACAAATTTTAAAGTTATAATTTTTTTTTTTTAAATTACTAAATTAGATCTAAACTAGATTTAAGTTTTAAAATTAAAAAATTAAATCTAAACTAAATTAAAATTCTAAGGTTACTAACTTAAATCTAAAGCAAATAAAAATTTAAAGTTACTACGATAATTCTAAATTAACTTAAAATTATTAAAATGATTCTAAACTTAAAATAACACTCTAGGTTTACTAAACTAATTCTAAATCTAAGCTAATTAGTAAATTTTGTCTAATTAAAAAAACATGTTTATTCCTAAGAAACTAACTAATCTAAATTAAATAATTAGAGCTAAAATTAAACTAAGTTAGAAAATTATATTTAGTATTAAAAAACAATATTATCTAATTCATTAACTAATTTAAACAAATAAAAAAAATATCTAAAAAAAGAAATAAACTATGTTAATTAAAACAAAATAAGAGGAAGAATTGGGCTGACCGGACTTAGGTGTTTAAAGGCCCAAAACGAAATTGAATCACGGAAACCCTAGAAGCATATGAAACTGGAAGAGACACATTGAATTATAAAAAATCCCAGGGAAATCTTCAGACACGTTATCAGAGAAAAAAAAGACACAAAATATCTCTCTATCCAATTCGTCCTTCCTTCTCTTGACCGTTTCATACTCTCTTAAGTTAAACAAACCCTCTCCGCTGAAGTTCCTTGGCTTCATCTTCTACTCAAGTGATAAACAACAACAATTTTCTCAAATCCCCATGGATTCACAACCAAATGCCTTCTCTTGAAACTTCTTAAACCACCAATCCATGATCTCCATCGAAACAATCAACTTCGATCCATCCACACCATAAAAAGATTGCATAAAATTAAACAAATTCTTACCAACTTTCATCACCAACCGTTTAATCCTCTTCTCCCCTACCATATCCAGAGAAGGAAACAACGCCATATCCTCCACCGAAACATCAATTTTTTGCTGAAAGCTATGGAGCGTCCGCCATCAATTGCAGTAGTACGCTTCCGGAACTAGACTCCAGCCATGGGAGAGACAGTATGGCGGAGGGACATGCGATGGTGATGGCAGAGCAGAAAACAAATAGTGAGCCGGGTGATTGGATGTAGACGGCGAGAGCTTTGTCTGGTGAGAGGGTGAAGCTGCTTGTGTGGGTGAAAAGTGTTTTGCGGTTTCGAATGAGCGATTTGAGGGAGTATGGAGGTCTGTTAGTGAGTAAGGTTTTTGTTTAGTTAGTGAGGTTGTTATGAGAGGATGAGACTGTGCATATATGAGGAGTTTGAAGGATTTTCGGATTTGAGAGTTTATGAAGGTTTTTGTAGGGTTAATGGTTTTTGACAGAGGTTGGTACGAGATTTGTTGCTGTTTTATTTTTTTTTGTTAGCTCTGATCTACGGTTTAACAACAACATGTCGTTTTGTTCGGTTAACTCTTGGTCACATTCAAGTTATGCTTATTCATTTTCTTATAGTTTAGTTACAATATATATACACTCAGTTCTAATCTTCTGGTTCATTCGTGACAGCAAAAAAAAATAGTTTGAGTTAGACTCACCCTTTTCTATTTTTATTACAGTGAGTAACATATGCAACCAACTACAAGTTACGGTCATGGACAAGTAAATAAGTGAATAACAAAACAGTTATACCATGTGTTGTATCCCAAAATTTTCTCTCTTGTTTATCAAATAATCTCTCACAAGATCTCCTTTGGTTCAAGACTGCACAAGGGTTGATCAGCTCAAGATACCTCCTCAAGCACTGATGACTGAAAATTAGGGTTTGAGATTGCATAGGTACAAATGGACTTTTAATGCCCCAAATGACTTTCATGGATCATTTTGGACCCTCATATTTGCTCATGTCAAGTTTCAAGGCTTGGATCACCTTTTTGCTCAATCAATTGATCAGTTAACCTTAAATCAATTATGTTGGAGAAAAAGTAAACTGTGTTCAATTTACAGTCAAACTTCATAATTTTTTTATCTATATCAACATCATAAACTCATATATGTCAATTGATCAAGTTTGGATCACAATTCCTCAAGATATTTGAGCAGATCATCAAAAGGGCAAAATGGTCAAAATTAGGGCTTTGACTGAGAAGGTGCAATTTCTGATTTTTGACCTAGAAAATGATTGATTGGTTTGAGGCATGATCTCAAGGATTCAAATGATTCATTTTGACCTAGTGGAATGGCTCAAAACATCTCTCAAGATCAATTGATTGATAGTTGATTTTCAGTCAACTATACACTGAAAAGTCAAACTTTGACTTTTTAGTCAAAATCAAGTATCAAAGATCACAATTCTTCAAAACATGTAAAAATATGAAACTTGTTCATCAAGAAATCAAAAAGTCAAGATTTTATTTTGAAAAGTCAAAATTTCTAAACTTAGAAATTTTTCTAAGTCTTGGAAAATTCATATTTTTTCATAAGTTTGAGCCAAATTTTCACCTTGATGCAAGATGATTCAAAGGAAACTTCCAACATGAAAGTTGTAGATCTCAATGATATATAAAATATTGTAGAACACAATTTTTTCTATAAATGCATGGATTTCAAGTTATTATTTTGTGAAGACATGTTCATGAAACTTGAAAAACTTAGTGAAATTTTGCCCTAGTTTAGGCAGGATTTTGACCTAACTTCATGGAACTTTTTCACATAGTTCCAAGATGAATTTTCAAAAATGTCCAACATATAGGTTGTAGAGGATGTTAGAAGATTTTCAAAATGTCCAGGAACTCATTGAGATCATATTTGAGCAAGGAGAATCGAAGGCAAGAAGTTAGAGTTTCATTCTTGAATTACAAGTCATTTCTTGATGAACACATAATGCAATTTCAATGTTAGGCTGCATAATCTTGCTTTGCAGGCCTTCTAACTTGTGTATCTATCCATCATTAATGGATTACACAAACGTTTGAGCTATAATCCAAGTGGTTTAAGCTTTATCCAATTCACATTGCCATTTTGGGAAGAAAGTGAAGAATGCCATTCTTGAAGAGCAAGCGTTATGCACAAAGTCAATTCTTGAGCCTCTAAATTGTTCCCTCTGATCACACTCCATCTAAAAATTCAGAAGCAAGTGTGTTTAAAGCATAATCACTCTACCTTAGCAAGTACACAAGACTTTGAAACTTGGATTTCTCAAAAATTGCATGTTGAGTTTAAACATTTGTTTTTGAATTCTGATCAACAACAAGTCTCCAAACTTGTTGCTTATAAATAGAGTCACTATTTGTGAGCTAACACACGAGCATTAACACCCTGAAACTCTCCCAAACTCCCTCAAATCAGAAATTTCCCAAAAACTCCATTGTTGCATAGTTTCTGACCTTGGACTTGTAACTCATATTTCCCTCGTGCGTTCTTTGGCCTTTTAGTTCCTAAACCTTCCTTACATAAAATACAACTCATCCATGTCCCTGTTACACGACTGTAAGGCCATTTGCATCAAACTCCATAACAAAAAACAGAGCATTGCAGGTTGAGTTCTCCAAGCCATTCCAGCCATCCATTGCTCAAGCTAACCATTGCATTAGCTTCCTAGGAACTTGAGGAAGCTAACCTGATCATTGCTGCACCTTGAATCAAGCTCAAACTCATTTCACGATTTCCAATTTTGAGGTATATTCTTTGAACTTCTATCTTCTCATTTAGGCATTGTTAGGCTTGCATTGGTGAAGATAAAATGTAGACATTATTGTCCTAAAACTATATATGTCCATAGATTTCATTTATATTGCCTGAGTAGTGAGATTTTTGAGTTTGAACTTCCTGAAATAGTTAGATCAAAATTTGGTACTTTTAGAAATTCTCATTCATATTTGATTTATAGCTTATGATATTTATATGGTTGGATTCGTATGGAAAAATGGAGCAACTTTCATATTTGCATCTTTCATTTTTGTTGAGAAATGGTGAAGTTACAGGATCCATGGCTGGAGGTTGAAGATGAAGTTACATTCAGGACTTGATTTGGGTTATATGTTTATTATTTCACCAATGTTAACGGATGTACAACCACCCCAGTGGCAAAGGTAGCACGCGTTTGTGTATGAGGTCATGGGTTTAACACCCAGCGCGCTACCTTTTGTTCATTTTTCACATTTTTTCACTCTTTTTTGTTTCAGCTACAGGCGCATGGGCTTCCCTCTTTGGGCTTTTGTTTTTTTTTGCTGACTTCTAACCCCCTGCCTTACTTCTGCACCCCTAACCCATTTTCTTTTATTATTTTCTTTTTCTTATTTTTTTTTCTTTATTATATTTTTTTATTACTATTATTATTAATATTATTTTTATTTTCATTAGTAAAAAATCCATAAAAATATTTTTATTATTATTTACACTTATTTATTTTATTTTCTTTATAAAGACAAAAAGAACAAAAACATTTTCTTAAAATAAATTAATTTCTTTTTCTTAAATAATTAATATTTAAATTTAGGTTTAATTATTATTTTATTTTCTTTTAAATTAAAATTAACTTAGAATTTAGGTTTTTTTAAATTAATTAACCTTCATATTATTTTCATTAACTTAAACTTTTTCATAAAAACACTAAAAAGTCATTTTAACTTAATTTCTTTCTTATTTAGTTTAAATTTAATTTTGTTTGTTTTTAACTAATCATTTTATTAATTAGATCAAGACCTAACCCTTTCCTAAAAAACCAAACAAAATCATTTCTTTTTCCATTTGCATTTGTACATTATTTTTTCAATTCTTGTACAATATTCAATGTGGTTGTAAAAGATAATTAGGTTTAATTTTCTTGCAAAACCCCCATTTGTAAATTTGTATACCCCCTCCCCTAATGATGTAATAGCGTAGTAATTTTAATTTCTGCAATTTACTGCTTTATATAAATGCTAGTAAATTAGGGTTTGTATGGCAAGAATAAAATCAATAAGTAGCAAACCCTAATTCAAGACAAGACAATGCATGTAAATCAAACACACTTGCACACTTACACCCTTAGGGTAATTCCACTTTGTTGCCTTATAAAAATGGCCATGTTATGCATGTGGGATATCTTAGCAAAAAGAAATCAAAAATATAAGATCATAGTCCCTCGATGATGCTATCAATGTTGCCTTTCAAAATGATCTTAGTCCCTCAAAGAGAAATGCTAAGATATCTCACAATATTTCTATCATGGCTATACGATGACCCACGCCCGTCCTTTACATCCAAAGATAAGGCTTCTTACCAAATCAATGGTAAGATAGCAATATCAAAGGAAAGGAAGAAATGAACTAAGACTTTTGAGTAGGTAGATTATTCCTAGTTGCTTGCTCAATTTCAAATCAATCATCCTTGCTTATTTTCAAAACAAACACCAAACACTTTCAAAACATTTCCAAACATGAAATATTTTCAAAAGCTCAACACTTTGTATACGTTATTACGAACGAGAACTATTACAAAGTTTTCATAAACGATGACGCCTTTTCAAAATGCTTTCAAAAACCACACAAAGCACATTTTCAAACAAAAGCAAGTGATCTAGCAAGCAACTAAGAGCCCATAGATAACTATGGATTAAAAGGGTGTTAATACCTTCCCTTTTCATAATCTACCCCCCGAACTCAAGAAACAATCTCAAAGGTCTTTCCTGTTCTTTTCAGCCTTTCCTTTTGGATAAAAGAAAAGTCGGTGTAGACTCTTGCTAACCACAACATTTGCGATAAAATGCAAAACACCCAAGTAAGTTCTCTCACTGTATCATAAAACTGGCGACTCTGTTGGGGATAAACTTAAAAATGGGGTTACCTTAGGGCTAGATCACCTTTACTTGATTTCATTGTTTGATTTGTTTGCTTTACATTTTGGTTCCTTGTTTGGGATTGTTCTAATCCTCTACCCAGATTTGGGGATACCTTATAGGTAAGTAGCAATACATTGTGGAAACTGTGTGGGGTATACCGACATGGTCTAAGAAATAGCTACGTTAGTGTGACATATTTGTGGGTACCGGTATCCCTTAAGTAGTCAAGGAGAATACGGGGCCGCTGTGTGATGTCATGAAGCACTAACTGAATTTTAGAACCTTTACTTGACCAACTTGACCATTAGGACATAGTGAGATAACCAGATTTGGTGCAGTCCGAAGTTGGTTGATACTCGATACTACACTCATTGAGGTTTCACTTTTCGGGATATTTCGGTGCTGTTAAAGAGGCTTGTGTTGAAATAATTCCCGAGAAGACAGATCAGTGATATTGAGATCCCTTAGAACCCGATTACTATTTCTAGGACAGGTTTTGAGCCAACTAAACTTCAAGAAGATACTTACCTATGAGACTCCATGAAAGCATAAACCTAAGGACTTGTTTTCCTTATTTGTATATGCTTACTTGTACATAACATCATAAACATCATAACATCATTCTCATTCTCACCAACCATTTCAAGGATTTTTATGATTTATCTTTGTTTTGTTTTGTAGGACATGGCTTTTATTCGCAGGAAAACCATTCAAGTCAATCTCGTAAGAATTCCTTCTCAACTCAAAGAGCTAGAATCAAGGGTCCCTGAGAATTCTTCATTCACCAAAAGACATGGTTGCCTCCTAAACTTGGTTACCTCTAGCACAAATGAAG